ATTTACATCAAATATCTTGAAACATTTAAATCATTTGATTAAAATTATCTAATAATAATTAAATTATTTCACTAAAAGGGTACTGTGGCATTACAGGTAGATATATATAAGTAGTGACAATACTGTATATAATATATATTCATGTTATTAAATATTATATTAAAACTAATGAATGATAGTATTTAGTTGATGCAATTTATCCTTTGTTTTTAAGTACATTATTTATAATTGATTAATGATAAAATTATTAAAATCAGAGATTTATAAATTTAGTCTTCATGAATAAAACAATGAGCTTATTGATAATAAATTATGTGGATATTAGAAATATGCCTAAAATTTAAATTGGATTGATAAGGACACGATATTAAAACGACGTGCTGTGGCGTTCTGGGTAACTTAATACACAGCAGGATCATGGAAAGAATTAGAATGAAAAGAAAACCTCTTCAAATGAATACTTTGGCAACACAAAGCGAAAAAACTTACTTGCATATATGAACGTGAAGCATCAAGATTTTCAAGAAAATTTGAATGAGGAATAGTGCATCCATGATATGTATAATTATTAAATCGCTTTATTGATCCTTCTCCTGGTGCCAACAATAGTTTCCAAAAATGTTTAAAAATAGAGCTATCCTATATTTTTGGATTGCAGTGCACAGGGGTGGACTGGCTTGGCGGGACACCGTGACAAATCTCGGTGGCCCGTTAAAATAATAGATTAAATGGCCTGATAATATTTTAGAAATTAAAAATATAGTAAGACGATATTTTATTCGACAGAATTGGGGAAACTATTGAAGTTATGAAAAAAAACCTAATTATGTAAAAAAAGAAATTACTTTAAGAGTTCATTTTTATATATAGGTATTATATTAATATATGTACACTGTATCTATAAAAAAATTATATATTATATATGTAATTTTATATATCTACATAAAATGTTGAAAAGGTTTTTTATCATTATTTTTTTTCCATACTTATAACCAAATCATTGGTCCTTTGTTAATTTTTGGCCTGGCAAAAAAAATTCCCGGCCTGAATATTAACCCAGTCCGCCCCTGCCAGTGCACCTCTTGTAATTACGTTTAAGCCGCCTCAGGACCGAATTGCTATATGACTTATGTTATGAATTCAACTTATGTTTTAAAATGAACAGTTTTGTCAGTACTTATATGTGGTACATGCGTAGGTGACAGTGGCATATTTAGAAAATATTTTCGGGAGGGGCTACTGTGAACAGAGTTAAATTACCATTGCTATCTAAGAATTACTAACAAGATACATTGTGTTTTGATGACAAATCTGCAGATATTCCTAATTTTTTAAAGCAAATAGGTCAAAATATAATATTATAGATGTTTAAGATATTGTATTATTATAATACATTTTATATTTATATTATTTGTTATCGTATATTTTATTTTGTTTGTGCATAAAAGACTGAATTTAAATCAGATATTAATTTAGAGACTTTTTTACCGTGGACTTTTTTTCCTAATATCACATAAATCATAATACACAAGGTGCGTCATCGCTGATGGAATAAATAAATGCTATAGCGGCGGTCGCCGGTCGTGTTCAAAAGTCGACTAACAAACGAACGATTTGCCAATGAACTAACGAACGATTAGTTCAAATGAACGGTTAAGGATTTGTAGATAAAGTGAACGATTAGTTCATATGAACGGTCAATGATTTGTCGTCGACCGAAGGATTCCTGGATAAATTGAACGATGAACTAGTTCACCCCCCAAGTGAACTATAATTCTCATCTCTAATTCATGGTTATATCACAGATTATATTCATATAATCTGTGTTATATTATCTATAGCCGTGGTTCTGTAGCATCCACAGGTATATATTATATATATATATATATTTTATATATCTGTGGTAGCATCTGGTCGAATTTTAACTCTTTTGATAAGAAATTACTAATTTAAAAATTATAATCATATCTAAATACCCATATTTTATAGTCGTACTTTCAGCTCAACATATTTAATTTTTCTGAACTTTTAATTATGACCAAACAAGAATTTACCCAGTGGATTTGTGAAAAACTGTCGGCTATTCTACAGTTTGAAGTACAAAACGACATGGCTGAGTATGTACATTGTTGTTTATCAGGGCAAATAGAGTTTCGGTATACATCTTTTTTCTTCACAGGTATATACTTTCCATGCAATCCGAACAAGATCTAGATGAATATTGTCGTTCATTGTTGGACATTAAATCTCCAGTTCACAAACAGTTTTTATTAGATTTAAAAAAAAGATATAAACTTTGTAAGTTTTTTTTATCTAAGGTTTTTTTCAATTATTTATTAATCGAATACGTTTATTTAATTAAGTCAACCAAAAACCAACGTCTTCAGTTCTTATTACACGTCTCCCTCAACAAAATACAAAAACCCAAGAAAATGAAGAAAAGATAGACACAGATAAAAAGCAGAAAGTAATATTACTATTAAATGCTTTAATAGTTGAATATAAAACAGTTTTATAGCACAATTGTTTGTAGAAAAATGCATCAAAATCGAAAAACAAAAAGTATGTCAACATGTATTCTGACGAAGGTCTTAATCGCCAGGAAGTATTCTTGAAAGGTAAACAATGGTTTTTAAAACATACAGGGTTTATTAAATTACTGTATTTATTATCAAGGTCGTCATAAATGTAATTGCCAAGCATCTAAACACGGTTTAATTAGTAACTGTTTAAGTTGTGGTCGAATAGTATGTAAACAAGAAGGATCTGGTCCATGTGTAGTATGTGGTGAATTGGTTTGTGAACATTTTTCATTTTCATTTTGTTTTGAAATATAATCGTTTTTATTTCATTAATAGGTTTGTTCCAATGAAGAGAAGCTCTTATTGAATTGTAATAACAATAAATCTAAAGAGTTGTATAATCGATTAATCGAACAGTCAGTTAATGTTAATGCAGATAATAAAGCTCTTGAACATCGAAATAAACTTTTAGAGTTTGATCGTACAAGGTAAAATTATTGACATTCATTAACTGTTAATTAGTTAAAATATTTTATTTCGTATTTTTAAAAATAACAAGCAAAATCCATAAGGTATATAAATGTTTGTTATAATTATATACAATTGTAATTAATTGATGATCATATTATTACATAGTGCTAAACGTACAACTGTAATAGATGACCAAATGGATTATTATTCAGTTAATAGTGGATGGCTATCATCTAAGCAAAGAGAACAGATGCATCAGAAAGAAGAAGAACGCCAAGAGAAGAAACATGGATCGAGAAAAACTAAGAAAATCACTATTGACTTCGCTGGTATAAAATTGTAAATCAATTGTTTAAACAAAAATAATTACAATCAACCTGCATTCAATAGGAAGGCAAGTTTATGAAGAAGATAAGGAATCTGATGACGATAACAATATAAGTTCAATTAATGATAGTGAAGAAACACAGCCCGTTATAATCAATGATCATCTGAATAATCCTTTAATTAAAATGGATTTAAAGGTTTATACATTTTTTTCTTTATTGTTTAATGAAAACACATTTTATTAATTATACATCCTGTGTCACTTTAAGTTTAACGATGATGCTATAAAAAAAATTAAAAAACATAGTGTTTACTTTAACAATCCACTTGGACAACATGATCAAGGATTTAACCGAGTACAAGATGCTGAACTAATGCTAATGACTGATCCTGGTCTCTGTTTAAGCATGCACCAGCCATATGCATCTCTGTTGTTGCTCAACATAAAAAAGTAAGTGTGCTTCAAAAGTTCCAAGCGTTGCTAATTATTGACTAATAACAGAACTTGATTATATGCTAAAATAACGTGGTGGTATTTATGGGTGTAGCGAGGTTGGGGCAGATGGCACTTGTCCACCCCTGCGCCTCAAACTGAATTATATTTGTTTATACCAAACATGTAAGTTTTACATTTAAATCAAAAATTAAATAAGATATAATTCTAAAAATAGTTTAGTGGGACCAAGTTATACCTACAAGTGTAATCGTTTTGACGTTTTATGTGTTATCCAATGGTCTATCTGTAGATTATTTGAATTACGAGTTAAACACTTACCATTTTATGTTTTTGCCCCTCCCTGATTCAAATTTTAGCTACGCCCATGTTGGTATTGTTGGTATATTGTGCAGCATACTGGTTTTTATATGAAATTACTGTTACTGTATGTATTATGTATGCTAAATGAATAAAGAAATTTTGTTTTCTTTGATTTTAAAGTAATGAAGGCCGCACATGGTTCACACCACACCGAGGAAGACTCTGGATAGCGTCAACAGCTAAAAAACCCAGTCAAGAAGACATTAATGAAGTTGAAACATTTTACAAACGTTTGAAAGGAGGTCAGTGTAAACAAAAATGTTGTCGAGCAATAACAGAATAGGATAGTTAATATTTGTGTTAATTGCAGACATAACATTTCCAAAAAAATATCCAACTGGATGTTTAATGGGTTGTGTTAACATAGTGGACTGTTTATCCCATGAAGAATATATTGAACAATTTCCTCAAGGAGAAAATGATAGTCCATTTATATTTATATGTGAAAATCCAATTATGATGAGCAATCATTTTCCAATTAAAGGGCAACATAAGATATGTGAGTGTTTAAAAAATAGATTGTACTATTATTGATTATCATTACAGTTATTTTCATTTATTTTTCAGTTAAATTAGATAAGAAAATTCATAATGCAGCTCAAAAATGTTTAATGAAAGAAATTAGTTAGATTAGTTATTTAATGTTATAATAATAAAAATATTGTTTGCAATTAATATTTTTTTTATAAATATGTAAAGAATTCAGAATGATAAATTTAATGGCACACACATCAAATCCTAGTAAAAATATATGCAATCAAATTGAGAATATAGTAAAAAATTAATTAAGCAACAATCAATTTGGGTTCTGAACAAAAAAAGTGCTCGAGAGGTTATCTTAAGTGTAAGAATATTGGTATAAAAACAAATAGAATTTAGTAGACACATTTATAGGGTTCATAGATTTGAAGAAGGCTTTAGATAAGGTACCCTGAAAAGATCTGCTCTATACTTTAGATATAATAGGAGTTGACTACAGAGATAGAGGATAATATATAATTTCTATAAAAACTAATCAGCTATAATCAAAGCAATTGACAAAACAGAGAAAGCTAGAATTAGGAAAGGTGTAAAGATGTCCAGTCTCACCAACTCTATTTAATATTTATATTGAACTGCACATTAAAAAAATTAGAGATTATATATTGATATATTGCATTATTAGCCTACCATGAACATATATTGGAAAAATCACTGGAATAGAGTGTGATATATTTTCAAAATTATAAATTGATTACAAACTGACAAAAAATTTAAATTATGTGTCAAAAATTAGATTGAATCAGTAGAAATAATATCCAATTAAGGAATCAAATACTTGATTAAATGGATAATTGTAAATACCTAAAAGTGATATAAACATTTATAAATGGTTACTAATGCATTTTTATTAAATTTATGGTAAAATGCACTTTTTCAAAAGACTAAAATCAGAAGAAAAAAAATGTATGTTCATAAATTTATTCCTCTTACATGGTAGTTATTATTCAATTTCTAATAAGATATTAGTCACTCATATTATTAACTAAGATAAGATTTACAGACATACCAAACCCTGTGCTGCAGAAAAATTCTGAGCTAATATAACTATTTTTTCATGTTTAACCTATATTGAAAAAATGATTCCACAACCAATTTTTACTTTCCATCTTATGCTTTTTTAATTGGAATTCAGAATTGGATAGATATCATAATCAAGATCTGGAAAAGTTAGGCTAACATATTATTTTAAAATTTTGAGAACTATAAATTTAAGTATGAGATTATCTTAATTATGATTAATTTAACCATATGGTAAAACAAATTATTTTTCTTATTTATTTGAAACATGGCTGTACATAATAAATTACATAAAACAAGAAAAATTCAATTAAAACGAGTTAAAAAGAAAATTGTTGAAATAATGGAAAGGATATGAAAACCTGGTAAGTTTGGTACCAAATGAGGAATATTTCTATATCAGATAGCAAAGTTCAAAGGTAACATGCATTCTAAACAGTTGAAATTATAATTTCTATAAACACTAATATTTAAGTTTTAAAAAAAATAATTTATTCTATGTTTTATATAAAAACTTTATTCAATAATTTCCAGATATTTTTTGTTATTCATTTACTCTATGAAAATGTATAAGTTTATCATTAAGTTTAAATATATTTTATGTTATCATACAAAGTATTTTGAACTAGATGGATGATTCAGTCCAACGATGTATGCAATGAGGATTAGTGCATACATAATATAATCTCATTTCCTCCTAAAAATCGGAGAAAAAGAATGTAAACTTCATTTAAATATTATAGTTACTTAAATTATAATATACCTCAGCACGTCTAGTTTGAGCTTGAAAAAAGACTGATTCGCGGTGTTTACATTTTGGACATGGATGGTCTTCAGACCTGGGTAAAGTTGGATCAGATGTCACATCAGAAACAATATGAGTAAGTTCACTAAAAAAAAGAAAGAAAATTAAAAATTAAAATTTTAGATACTTCTGATTTTAAAAAACAGACAATCAGTATTATTTTTTGATAAAACAATTGGTATAATGCATACAAGAGTAAATAGAAGATATAAATTTATTTCTATTCATAATTATACTTTTATATTTTACCTGCAACAATATTAAATAGTAACTTGTATATTTTATATTATAAAATGGTATATAAAATTACTAAATATTATGATAAAATAAAACGCATAAACAAAAATAAATTACTTGATTTCATGCATAATTTTGTTGACATAAATGCAATTACTGTCAGCCATCTGTCTGTGATCACAATTACGGCACTATAATAAAGAATTATATCAATAAAAGTTTAAAGTGTACGACTATAAATAAAAATATTTTATTACATTTTATTAAAAATGTTCAAATCACCAGTTATTAATATTTAGAAAAAAAATGAATTATATAAAATAAGTTATCCTTAAAACTGGGGTATTTTTACAATAAGTGCAACAATATACTCACTGCATACAATAATACTTTATGTTCTTTGTCTTCTTTTGGATATAACATGTTATTACTAGAAAATAAAACAGAATTATTTTAAATCATTATTATTGGTTTTAATTATTTTATATTATTAAACAGATAAAATGTTAAGTGTATAAGACATGCTAAGGTGACTTCAAATTAATTTAACTAACTAGAGCCTAACCAAACTGTTTCTATACTTTATTAATAATCACTTATAGTATGATAGTAAGATAATCACTCTAGGAAGATATTATGAACTACTCATGTTCAACATTATTTTACCAGAGTTTATTAACCATTTATGAAGAAAGCATATTCATTATGGGTTATAAAACATCAATTTTACTAAAGAATAATGAAAATAGAGCCCATTAATAAATTGCTAAAAGACTTCAATATTAAGTCAATGAATTTATATACATGAAAGATTTAATTTATAAATGTTCGTTGCAAATCATACCATTCTTGACAAAATCTGATTCCGACGAAACCGGGTCCGTCGCTGCGAGAATCGTATCCAGACATCTGAAAAATTTTATCGGGGACCCAACTCACGACTTTAAATAATTTATATTTGAATTTATAACTACTACAGTTTGTATCAGCGACTAACACGGTACGTAATAGTGATGAACGATTTCTTGTAGTCGTTTAATCGATTTTGAAATCGATTTTGTCAAAGCGATTTTATTTTTGAATCGATTTTTTTCGGTTTATATAAAATTTATTTCATTTTGATTTTTTTTTTTTGTTTTTGTGTTGGTAAAGCATAGTTTACACGATGTTAGTTTACTAGTAACTAGAAAAATATTATTTTAGTCAATTGATTTACTAGCACATAATAAAATATTTATTTCATATACCTACACGATATTTATTACTTGCTCTGGCATATTGTACTACCGGGGAGATACAAGCTACTAGGTAGTTAAAAATAAATAAAATAGTACCTTAGTTTATTAAAAAGTTGATATGTTTATACTTTACTTGCAAACTTCAAAATATTTTACTAGTTTACTAGTTTAGTAGCATTTTCAATTGGACAATATTTTTTCACTAGCAAATGGTAAATCCAAATGCCAATTACTTTTCTTCTTATTGTAATATTTTATTATCTACATTTTGTATTTTAGATAGATCATAAATTTCATTTTTATTTTATAAATTATTTAATTGGGTATTTTTATTTTATTGAATTATATTCATTATTTAACGCTGTAAACGTTATTATACATACAAATACATGTAGTTAGGACTAAATAAGTAATATATTGTTTTTACAATATTTTAATATTTTGTCCAGATATTTCATTCAGAGCCCGTTTTTATCTTGGATGTCTAAACTGTATTTGAAGTAGACTATGTTCACATTTTACATTTTGGTTATTCTAAAAAAATTACCAATCACATATGCCTAGTTAGTAGTAAATATTCATTCTAATGTTTGAATATTAGTTACGGAAAAGTGGAATTAGTAAACAAATAAAATAAATACTTGTTATGTTACATTAGTGGGTAACTAAAAATTCGTCCACAGTGTTCATAAAGAAGATAGCTAAGATAGATCAACTTCCAAAAATAATTACGTATGTTTGATAAAAAAAATTACTCGATTTTTTCAATTCGATTTATTTTTGAGAATAGCTCATATCTAGTCTGTGATAACGGGTTAACAACAGCGGCGACCACGGCCTAACCTAGTTACGACCGTGATTATATAGATTAAATTGTCATGGCCGCGATAATTTCCAGTTTTGATCAGAAAAATATTATGACCAAGCACGCGGTAAAGATGGTTGTTAAACTTCTAATTTGGTATTAACGCGCTTGTGATTATTTTTCGTTGTACCTAGTGCGGTTATCATACCGGTCTGCAATCCATTAAAAATAAGTTTTATTGTTATATTGACCAGAAATAGTTAATTATAACATAAATATTAAATAGTTGTGCTCGGATTATTTGTCCATACCGTTTGCCATTCGAACGAGTATTCAGCATGAAACTGTTAACACATAACTTGTTGTCATCGAAATGTTTGAAAGGAGTTAAAGTTGGGTATCCGCTTCGCATTGTGGTGAGTTATAATATTACGATTTCGATTGCCCGTTTGCTTATGTCCCGTAACGCGTAATTTATTAATGTGTCGGCAGGCGAAAGACGTCAAGATATCCGAATCCGAGTACAACATGGAGTTTGTATTAAAAATGATACCTAAACTCGATTGGAAAGTGTTGGTCAATGCTGCTGAGCAAGTAGGTTTTGAATTTATCAACTCATAAGCTTACGGTTACGTGTAGATTGTATTACATTGATTTTATTTTTTTAGATCGGACACGGTAATAATTTACCAATAGAACTGATTGAGGACTATGAAGATGATGAAGAATTACTCAAGAAAATACATCACGTACTCATGGAAGTAAGTTTATTTTGTAGTTATTTGTAGTGAAATATTATGTTGAAAATATTTTCCATATTTACTTTAGGTAGAAGTTATAAATGGTGAACTTATCTGTCCAGAAACACAAAGAATATTCCCTATATCTGCTGGTATACCAAACTTACTGTTGAACGAAGATGAAGTTTCCTAAATACTATGACTAAAATACTTCCTATTTGTTTAAATTGTTCATATAAGTTATAAATAAATAATAATAATTTTTATTGTTTACTTTATTGATATTCTGTAGTTGCTTAACAGATATATAACATTTGTTAAGTAAAGAATTTTTTTTCTTTTCTTATTTACAACAATTTGATAAAACAATATAAGTACCTATAATTGATCTTATATTTTTAATTGTAAAATTATTACTTTGAAATACCACATATTTATCACCTCATTATACATTTTTTAAGTAAAAATATTTTCAGATTCTTAGTAAATCAGTCAGATTTGTATAATTTTTATGTGCATACTTAGTGCACTTCACTATTAATATTATACTCATATTTTATAAGAGAAGACACTAAATCGCAACCAGTTTTTTTTCCAGTGGTGTGCATTTAACAATTGCTTGAATAAGTACGATTTACATCATCAAAAGGTGTTCAAGTTTGGAGAAACATTTTGCCAACACTATCGTGATAGAATTGGAGAAATGTTTGTCTTCTCTTTTGAAATAGAGTGTAGAGCAGATGTTTCCAACCAGGGTGCATAAAATTACTTGAAATATATTTTTTAAGCAAAAATATTTTATGAAAAATATAGTTTTATGAGTAATAACACAAACAATATAAAAAAACCTAGTGTTTCTTATAATTTGTTATAATATTGCAATGTTCAATGTATTTTAATTTTCATACTGAATTGGTTGTATTTGTTTCAATATGGACTGTTATCATTCTACTACTCATTTATGGTGAAATATTTTTGCACGACTTTAATTTATTTATATTTTATGATAGTTTTATCTTACATTGCACGCATATGCTTGCTTACTGTACCAATAAATTGTACAGATTGCTTATTATAAAATTAAAAAAAAAAATTAAAAATATATTATGAAACATTTTGTCCGAGTGTTAAAGAATGAACTGATCTTATTTTTTACTTTTGAAAATATACCCAGATTTTGTGCGTTATTGACATAATCATATATATATATATATATATGTCTTTCAACTATTTGATCACAAATTTAAGATTCAAGTGAGAAAAAAAAACAAGCCTAAGAGTAACATATGTTCTATAATTTTTTAATTTATCTTGATAATCAAATATAATAATAAAATTTATAATTGATGCTCAATGTAATAATTTGTTTTATAAAATATAATGTGTATATATACCTACTATTTTAGTATATACTTTAGTACTAAGCTAAAGAAAAGTTACAAAATATAAATATATGGTATAAAATTACTGAGTGTAGAGTATAGGGTACTTCTAGATTTTTAGAAAATAACTAAGGATGCTATGAGTTAAAAAAGGTTGGGAAGCTCTGCTTTAGAATATAGTATTGGTTAAAATATATAATTGTACACAAAAAAATATACAATCACTAATTACTACTAATCCGTGTATTTAATTGAAATTTGAATGTTTTTCTATTTGAAGATTTAATTTAACTAAAGATTAAAATATATAACAAATTACAAATTAAAATTTAGATTACTAAAAAATTGTCAAATATTCTAGATTATTTATGTTTTTACATCTATTAATGCAACATTTATTTAAGTGTTATCAGCATTGGTCTACACTATCCAAACTGTAACAAGAATTTTATGTAAAAGTACACTTAATATTAAATTCACTTATCTTAGTCACCATACATGCTATTATACTATTATAACTAAGGAATTTATTTTATAAAGAATATTAAGAAAAAAAAAGTAAAAAAATTATGTAAAAACAGTATGTAACAAATTTTTCAAAAGGAAATATTAATTATTTCCTAACAGACAATAATCTACGAATAATGATTTATATTAATTAATTGTTCTTCAAACAATTAAACATTTACTTCTGTATCTTTAAATATTATTCGGATTCTAATTTTACTACAGAATCATCATCATCAGGTTTTTCATTATTTTTACTATTTCCAGTTATGACTGTATCCAAAATGGCCCAATCAAATTCATTTTTTACTTCATCGTCATGTTGAACATTTACACTTGAATCATCACCATTGTCCGAAGCATCATTTTTATCTTCATTTTCAATACCCTAAAAGTAGATTTCATAAATAGGTAAATTTGCGAAGACAAAACTAAATGGTTATTGTATTTAATCCTATACTTTATGGTTGGAAGAGTCACTATCAGATTTTGTTTCTTCGACATTATCTTCTTTGATGATTTCTTCAGCTGCCTTATCCCGAGACTTGTTTTTTTCACAATGTTGTACATATCGTTGTAAATGTACACGATTACGGCAATGGAGACTCAATTGTTGTTCAACATCATCATGTGGGGGTAAATTGAATTTGCATAGCTCACAGTAGTATACTTCAACCTTTTTACAAAATTCTTTACCTATATAACAAATTTATAAAAATAATAAGAGTATAAGAGTGATTTACAAATTAGATTTCACAAATAGTTCTAATACAATTTGTATAATAAGCTTGTGTGTATATTATGCATTTTGAAAAGCATAGAGTTCAAAATATTTTAGCAACAGGAAACAAATTATTTCATATAAAGGGTATAACTTGATAATATTTAATAAGTTAAGTCACAGTTTAAAAGGTTTAAAACAATGCTTCAATTAAATACTATAACAAGCCTGTAACAAAAAAAAAAATATATATATATAATTCATACCCAGACTTATTTCTTTTTTGGATTTATTTTTCTTCTTTTTTTCTCCATCATTGTCTTGTGTATCACCTTCTTCTGATCCTTCATCTGAAAGACATTTATTTCTACAATAGTCTTTAATTCAGTTTTATTATGATATAAAATGAAAGAATTATTAACCATCTCCAGAACCAACAGAGTCCAAAACCATGAAATTTTCCATGTCAACATCACCATCTGCTTCATCAGCACTAGGAACAGCAGCCATTCGTTTAGTTCTGCGATCATAGATATCAACTTTCTAAAAAAAATTACAATAATATTGAAAACAATGTACTTTGATATGTAATGATATCCAGTAGTTGAAAAATACTTTTAAATGATTAGTGCTGCATAAATGGTGTTCATAACGCATTGGTGATGCAAACATCAAGTGACAAATATTACATGCTGGTTGTAAAAATTGTTTGATTTTCTGTAATAATAATGTTTCGGTAATACAAAATAAATTGATGTCATGATTTGATTAATTTTTTCTCACTTTGTGCAAAGTACTACTGAAATGATCACTTTTGGGTTGTTTGAAGTTTAGCTGGCACAATTTACAGTAATTTATATCGGTTTTTGGATCTTCTTCAGTAGCCTTATCATCAATTTCTTTTTGTTCTTTACGTTGATCTTGACGAAACATGAATAACTCATGCTTCCGTTTACGAGCTAACTGGGACATAGCTGTACGATGACGTATTTTCAATAAATGAATTTCATATTCCTGTGTTAGAAATAAACATTATAACAGTAGTTAAAAAATTCAAAATATGTTTTTTTACTCTAAATGTCTTGCAGGTGACTTCGCAGTGAGGACATAATAGTTTTATAAATGGTTCTCCTCTGGAATCCAACAAATTGTTTTCAGTTTTTCGGGGCTATACAAAAAGAAAAACAATAAATGTTTAATAAATGTTTAATCGAGTAACTTCTATAGGTTATATATGTTAACTACTCACAGATGATTTATCTCCAGAGTCAGATTTGGAAACATCACCATTTAATTTAGGTTTTTTCACTTTCTTTTTAACAATTTTTACCACTTTTTTCACAACTTTTCTTTTCTTTTTAGGTGATTCTTCTTTCTTATCTTCTTCATCTTCAGGTTGATCTGCATCATCATCATTAGCAGATTCTTCTTCTTCTACTTCTTCTTCTACTTCCTCTTCTACTTCTTCTTCATCTACTGAAGGAGATCTAACCCGTTCACGTAATTGCTAAAATATAAAAATATACATAAAATATAAAACCATAGTAAAGAGTTTAATATATATATTAAGTAAACAGTAGGGAAGTGTTGACAGTTATCTACAAATATCAACACAAACAAAAATGCAACATGAATGTTAACAAAATTGTATAATGACTAACAATGGGAAACATCTAAATTATTTAAATATTTGTAAATATTGTCAATATTTACACCTATATGGACTTGACTTTAAAATATACACACCCGAGTTTTTTCTCTGAATTCAGCTATTTTTCTTGCACGATAATCATCATGATCCCGCATACTAGTTCTGTTAAAACATATTTATAATTATCAATATAACTAAAAATAAATACATTTTTGATTTAATCTAATGAATAGAAAATTGTTTACAACTCTATATTTGATTACAACTCCTAGATCTACAATAATAAAACAAAATTAAATTATTTAACACAAAAAGTTCAGTATACTCCGTATGAAATAACAACACATATATTTTATTGTCAATACAAAAAACATAATATTCCACAATTATTTTCATTGGGTAGTTAATCAAAAATAAATACTATTAAGTGTATACCAATTGTAGAATTATTTTAACATTATAAAATAAATGAATCATTGAATGTGTTCTAATTTCATACTAAGTAACGTATATATTAAATATTTTATGAATTAATTCACTTCTAAACAAAACTTAATGTAATATTAAATTAAAAGTGTCTACATTATATTAATTATTGGTTCATAAAAATCAAAAATAACCATGGATAATACCAATGCCTTAAGTTATATTTATTATTTTGAATGGTATATAATTGAAATATTAAAATTATTTTCCTATATAATAGCATTTAAAAAGATTTAGAAATACTCAAAGAACATCAATTAATGATAAATAATAATAAACTAGTTTTATGTAAAGTTTAAGTACATATTAAATGTGTATAAAACTTTTAGAGGTACTGTCATATTAATTATTAAATGTATTGGTTAATACCGAATGCACACAGAAGTAAAAATTAGAATTAAAAGATAAAATATGTATAATACACCTTTATTTTACCACATTGATACTAGTGATGTAAATTAGTTGAAATAATACAACATAAATACATAAAATAATTTGCAGTTAAAAGTCATCAAATTTATGATATTAAATATAAGTTTTAATGAACAAAAGAATTTATTTTGTTCGAAGAAATACACAATTTAAAAACATCTTGTATCAGGATTAATTAGAATATTCCATGTATTATCATTTAAGTGTGTATCCGGTAAAGTATATAATTTTTTTCAAATAATTTTTAATTATAGTAAAGTAGTTTCAAAATGAACAATTATTTTATTTGTTGATAAATAATTGTTCTGGTTTAAGATACTTGTATTATTATTTCATCTGGAATTCATCCATAAAATATCTTCAATTGAATTTGTTTCATTAGGTCAACTAGCACAACTCAAAATAAACACAGTAATTATGTAAGACATTAGATCATATATCAATACAATGATTGAAATTCAATATTGACATCTGCACAAATAATTAAATGTACTAATAGTTCATTAGTTATAATCCAAACTAAACTCAATGATGTATTCAAACACTTCTTTGTAAAATATTATCCATTGTAGAATATTATTGAATATAACAATCTTTAATGAATTCTAATCAAAACATTGGCCATTAATCATATTTTATATTTTCTGAACATCAATAATTACTTGATAGGTAATTTGTTTGATTATTTAACGTTATTTGTTTTCAATCTGCCCAATGGCTCTATAGCCTATAAATTGATTTGTATTTTTGTAATGTATACTATTTACTTATAAATGATACTGTTTTCATCATCTTTTGTAACGCTTCATATAAACATGACAGTCGCTATTTAATTACCTTTTGACTGTATGTATCCTTCTATTGGCTATATCATATCCTTTACGAATGGGATTAGTTCGCCAATTAGATGTAGGTTCAAGTCGTTTACGTTTGATAAGTCCTGCGCTGCCTCCAAAAGATCCTCTATAAGATACACTGGCAGAAGATCTACCCCTCATACCAGGCCTATCAGCAACTCGAAAACCTCTAGTACCCCTGCCTCTATTAGATGGGCCAGAATATCTAGGGGATGGTGGTGAAGAGCGATCATCATCTGGAGGCAGTGGCTTACGGAAATCTGAACCATAATCACGTGAACTATCACGGCCTCTGTAACCGCTACTTCCTCCATAGTTATTATCAGGAGCATAGGATGATCTGCTACTACGGTCTTCTATATAACTGCTACCACCACCACTATAACGGCCAAAATCATCACCGGAACTTGAATATCCACCCATGTCTGAGTCTCTGTGACTTCTTCCACCCTGCGTGCAATTTTCAATCAATGTGTCAATCTTATCTTTTTACTTTACATATTTATTAATAGAAGATATATATATAGATGTTTAAAACATATCAAATATAATTTCAAAATTCATCAATAATAATAATAATTTTCAATAAATATATATAAATATATATATATGTAAATAAATAAATATAAACACTTTATTGGTTACTGATATCATCTTGCATGAAAAATGAATACTTTGAGACATTGGGCAGTCTTCGATTGAATTTATTTATTTGTTGTAATAATATATATTTATATTATATATAATATTTTTTAAATTCCAACAATTTTCAACATCAAATATTAGTAGGTTTCAAATAATTCAAAAATATATTTTTATGTTTTGTTTTTCTATCTTTCTTAAAAAGTTATAATAGAATAGTAGTATTAATTAAAATTCTATGTATTAATTCAGTAATAATTAATAGAAGAACATTTTTTGGGTAAAATTTTGAAATAGTAGAATGATAAGCATTATTAGTTCTTTGATATCTATATGTAGTTACAATATTTTATATGGAAATATTTCAAATATATATATATATAAATATATTCCAGTTTTTTAATTTTAATTGGTATGCATGTATTGGAATACTACAAAAACAGGATAAAAACACTTAAGTTTTACTTAATTGTTACGGTATTCAAAATGATATTGTTTACTAAAATGTTTTAACATATAATTACAAGTAACAGGGAATTTGATGATTTAAATATTTACAATATATTTATTTATTATTCTTAAATAGTTAACTTAATAATATTGTATATATAAATTGTATGTATAAATGAATACATATACTTTTAAATTACATTATATAATATTTTCTATATTTGTTAAAACAATGCAAGAAATAAACATTTAAGCAAAATGTTTAGGTGCCATCCATGACAGTGTGAAATGAAAGCATAGCTAATTAACTATAAATAATTTAACATACCTCTTTGTACCGTCTATAGTCATCATTATGACCACTTGAATATCGATCATTATTACCTAAAATTATTAATGATAATTATACAAATATATTAATAAATACAATTATTATCCAGAATAAAAATAAATTACAGTTTAATTTTTAGTGATAGCCTTGATTTATTACATTTTAAACATTGTATCCTTCATTAATAATTATTAGGGCACGGATTTTTATGTAATAAAAAAGTCAAAATATGTAAATATTTATGTTATTTTAGCTAAAATATGTATTAAAAAACATAAAATATTTAACAAAAAAATCGGTATTTTATATTAATTTTTAATTATTCATTATTCATTTAATCATCTTCATTTTTGTCTTCTTCGAAACAATTGGATACGACGTACATTTAAAAATTTTAAAATTATAATGAACGCGGTTGAATTTCAAAATCAACTCGTAGCAGCTGAGGGTGCATTCAACATTGACCGAGGTTTATGGGGCATTTTTCATACCACATATGTCGGATGGTGTTACTTCAGTATAATTTGATATATTTTCATTTTTATTAATAAGATTCTCTGATAATTTAAATTTTTTTGTAAACCAACGTATTACCCAGTATGTAGTTTAATTAATTTTTAGTATAACTCCGGATTCTCCTTGAACTTAATTTCATTGAATTTCTTCATTTTCCACTGTCACAAGACTTTCAATTATTGTTAGATTTAATGTTTTTAATTTTTTATTATTTTAACCAAGAAAAATTTTTTTTAGAAATATATGCTAAATTATTTTGCAAGTTATTATTATTTTACATAATATCAGAAGTAATAGAGATTCTAGTATCTGAATTAAGATTTGAAATATGTTCTTAATTTAATTCCAATATAATAATCATAAATTAAATAAAAACTGTATCTAAATGGTATGAAAATGTAAAATACTTATAAAATATGTAAATTAAAAAATTCTCATATTATTCAGGGTGTTATGAAACATGCTTATTTTTAATAGGAATTAAGAAATTCACATTCAATAAAATTATGTTATTACACAAAAATCCGCGCCTTAATAATAATAAATTAGGTTTACATGATTAATTTTCTTTAACTACATCCCAAAATTATAATATTTTAACATTTAGATTATAATAAATATCATGCAGTTATTATTTAGTTCAAGTCATTTTTACTGATTTAAATAGAAAAACAGAACATTATATAAATTTAATATTCTAGACAATTATGTTTTATACTATACATTATTGTCAATATTTTTACCTCAGTCTTGACTATCCATTTTTAACTATTCAACAGTTTAATCAACTGCCAAATTCTGTACAAATAAATTACTGTTTACAATATTCATTGATATATAATTTTGGAACTTTGGTAATTGAAAAAAGAAAACTAATTGTTATGTAAAAATATTAGTTAATTTAAACTACACGAAAACTTTATATACATTAAATAATAAATTAAATATTTTATCAACCCAAAATATTGATAAAATGATTATAACTACTTTCCTAGTATTTTAAGTAATTGTTAGATTTTGGGTATACATTTTTAAGGAACATAATTTCTAGAAAAATCAATTTGTTATTAATTCTATTACCATAATAATAATAATTGGTTTTGAATTTATTTACATTGTAAAATAATAATTCACATCAGAATATTTTAATTTTATGAACACTTAATAAATTAGATAAATTAATATAATTACCAGAATAGCGATTTCTGGAATCATAATTTGAGTCTCCTTGTGATGACCAGTTGGATCCACTATTGCGATTCATGCTGTTATAGCCACCAGTTGATGGTGAATTACTTGACCAAGATCCTCCATTTCCTCTATTACTTCCACGAGAACCTCGATATGAACTACCACCTCGACTTCTATAGTTATCGTTGTAGCTGCTGCCACCACGATTACCTCTTGAGCTGCCATAATTTGAATTATACGAGTTTCCCCGATTTCCTCTAGGATTAACAAAACCACCACGGCTGAACACAGACAAGCAACAATAAATCGATCAAAATATATAAATTATTTCACATTATTTACTTATATTAATGATAAAAAACAATACGAGGTAAATTAATATCACGGCCCTGAGTGTAAGCAATCACTAGCAGAATTTAATAAATCAAAATGATTTCGTATGATACCGCGTTAGCGCAACAAATGACTACGTTAATTATACTTGAATAGTATAGTAAACAACTCCATAGTTACCTAGATCTGTAGGCCATTTTGTGGGTTAGACGCGTGAACGTGAGCGATATGAGTGCGTATGATAAAAAATTTGAGCGACAGTGATGAACGGCTGTAGGTGTTCAAGAATTATGTGAAAAACTACGAAGCGTACGGACAAAACACAAATTCCACTGACAACTTAATTTTTAAAAATTCTCCATCGCGCATCGAATACAAAATGGCTTTGCAGTTCTCCTCTACCCTCCAGCCATGATAAGCGCATAGGTGATACGTGTTTACCCGTGGAAGAAAATCAATAACGAGTGTTGACGCTTCGAAATTACACATTCAAGTATCTACATACGAACGTTTCGAGATTTTTTCAAAACTTTTTGCCATTTTGACAAGAGTTACATACTTATAAACAATATAAACTATCTATCGTCTTTCAGTGACGTACTAGCGTCTAACCATTTGAAATAATTTCCAGCGTTGCTGTTCGTTATTTTATTCCCAATCTGAAATCCACTCATTTATTGAATTTAAATAATTCAAAAAATAATTGTTAGCGATAATGATAATGTAGACGATATTTCATCAATACCAAAAACAAAAAAATTAAAAATTAAATTATTTTTTGTTGTAACGTATTGAAAGTTGTACGCCCTAAATTAATAATATTATACTTGCATTTTGAATTTTGATAATTTTACCATATTGTACAATAATTATTATACACATTTTGGTAAGACAATTTAAAATGTCATGGAGAAAACAACACCTAGTCAGATTCCATAAACTTTGTGTTGTATTTATTTTTTTGTTGAAGAGATTGTGTGAATTGTGAGGTTATGATCGTTCGTTTTTTTTTGGTTTCTCGTTCTTTTTAGGGATTTGTTGTTCAACGTGTAAGTTTCAATTTCGGAAAAATTGGTAAGTATTCTTGTATTAATTATTAATTACCTTTGTAAACGTTCATCAGTTTTAACTCATCAAGAATTTGTTGCAAATGTGATATGTTTAAATTAACTGAAAAATGACTGGTTAATCAATATCATTGCCCATGCAGTTTATTTTTCTTGCGTACCTCGTTTCCCGTATTCTTTTTATTTTACCCTTGGCTGCTGCCTTATGTTATCGTTTATGTTTTTTCTAAATATCTATATTAATTAAAGATAAAATCTCAAATTATTATTGAATATGAAGTTAAATTGTTTATTGATTGGAGAACAATTAATAGAAATAATTTATTTTTTTTTGCCTTTCAAAAGGTTTGTGGAAACTGGCCGAGTGGTCTATGTTGTAGATGGTCCTTACAAGGGCAAAATTTGTTCCATTGTTGACTGCATTGACCAAAAGACGGTAATTAATTTGTAATAGTTCTTTGCAATTTTAACTTATTATCATTAATTTAATAATACTTTAATTAGGTTTTGGTCGATGGACCCGAATCTGGAGTACCTAGATCTAAGATGCGTATTGCCCAAATCCATTTGACCAAATTCAAGATTAATTTCCCATACAATGGATCAACTAGAACTGTACGTCAAGCATGGATCAAAGCTGATTTGAACAAGTTGTGGATCCAAAGCAGATGGGCTGAAAAAGCCGCTAACAGGGAAAAGGTTAGTTCATCTTTTGTATTAGCATTTGAGATATTCAATAATAAAAAATTTTTTTTTTCATATTAGCGTGCTTCCTTGGGTGATTTTGAAAGATTCAAGCTTAAGAGGGCAAGAAAAGTTAGAAACAAGATCAGAACAAATGTTTACAAAGCTTTGTTTAATAAAACTTATTGTCCCAAAAAGAAGACAGTGAAAACTGCTAAAGCGTAATAAATTTTTATTGAATTAATGTAATTTGTTGGTTTTTTTTATATAATTTTTCAAGTGATGACCCTGATGATAACATTCCTATTTCCTGCAGTAATCTTATATTTTTTTATTTGTTAGAAATAATATAGTTAACCATATGATTGCTTTTTGCAAAGATTTATGGATTATATACTATGATTTGAACTGATGTTCATATTTAGGTTGAATTCTATTATTTTTTAAATGTTGTGTTCATTTATTTTTTCACTTGGTATATTTAATTACATATTTTTATTTGAATTAAGATAAAGAATAAGGTTATGAAGTAAACATTTTTGGTATACCATTAATTTTAAAAATTTTCATTCAACTGTATGTATTGTATTTTATTATTAGTTTAATAATTGATAATAAATAAAATTATTTATAATCAATGGTTTAATGTATGGTTATCAAGAAGTGCTGATATATGCCAAGTGCTTAGTGGTGCACCTAGAGGGATTTGAGAGTTGTGACCTCTCCTAAAAAATTTAGTTAACACTCCACAAACTAGGTTGTTTTTTTTTGTGAATTTTAAATTTTTGTTTGTTTTTATAATGTAAAAATTTATAATGTTATATATAACTAAAAAAAATAGTACATTTTTATATAAATCAAGTTCTATAGATTGAACTAGTATCAATTTTATAATTTTAATCAAATTTCTTAATTTATATTTTGTTAAATCAGCATATTTTGCATACTCTCCTTGTACTGTTCGTCTATGGACTTTATCTATTAACTTCACACCATTCTCCCAATCAAACTTCTTTTGAAATTAAATTTTTTTCAAATGTATAACTTTTGGTGTAACCCCCTAGGGAAGCATAAGAATTTTCAAAAACCTTCAACACGAAAATATTATTTCCGGTTATTTATATTTATTTTATTTTATTTAAAAATACGGGACGAACTCCATAATACAAGAATAAATAATATACAACGATATAAAATGATAGTATAAGCTCTGTGTAAACGAGGCTCAATTTTAGAGGAAGAATGAAGGGTCAGTATTGGCAATGCGCATAAGACGGATGATTAGTGAGTTAAGATAGTAATTTAAGGAGGATAAGGGTATGTGGAATGGAACAGATGATCATGTGCGGCTACAGGGGACATTAAACGAAACACGAGATAATGATTCGTGACTGTCAATTTTAGAGGAAAGAAGACTAGAAAGAAATGCAATGTTAGCTGAGTGACGACGGTCAGCGAAACTTTAGGGAAAGTAGGCGTTGGATTGGTGTGTAGTCGTGAGGTGGACAGGATATATTTAATTTATAAGCAGCATGACGGAGGAATTTTCTTTGAACCTTTTCAATCATACTACATGCAGAGGCAGTGGACGGATCCCAGAGTATGGGTTTTATACTCAAGGAGGGGACGAACTAATGAACAGAAGAGTTTTTAATGGAGTGAGTAAGTTAAAATGTGAAGAGACACGATTTATGATGCCAAGCAGCTTAAGAGCCCTACAACAGATAATCTGGATATGTATATTAGGGCACAGGTTACGTGTTAGGGTAAATCCTAAATCTTACAGAATTATTGCAAATTTTCAAGAGGGTATTGTTGACGGAGTAAGTATAATTAATACGACAAAGTCATTACTGAACATTTAGGAATATTAAGAGCAAGTCCCAAAAATGCACCCCATGACACTAATCGATTAAGGTCGTTTTGGAGTAGATGACTGTCAGAGATGGATTTGATACGGAGGAAAATTTTTATATCTTCATCAAATATAAGGAGTTTAGCATGTTGAAGGACGGAAGCGGCTGAGTAAACGAATAAAGCGAACAGAAGCGGAGAAAGAACAGTACCTTGTGGTACACCTGATAAGGGTGTAAAGTGGTCCGAAGAGGTGGAATTAATAGTTACCCATTGGATCCGGTTTGTAATATAAGAGCGAAGCCAGGAAAGTAGGGGTTTACCTATGCCTATAGAGTCAAGTGTTGACATAAGATGATTATGATCAACACGGTCGAAGGCCTTGGAAAAAGCTGTATAGATTACATGTACTTGGCAGTTATCGCGGAAAGAATCAAAAATATATGAATGAAGGCTAAGATTACAGGTAACAGTTGATCTACTAGAACAGAAGCCATGCTGCTCATCAACTGGGATATGATTTAAGGAAAAGCGAATCGAATTAAGGACAAGTGTTTCAAATAATTTGGATAAATGAGGAAGGATAGTTATTGGACGATAGTTTGTAACATCTGTAGAATCATTGGACTTCAATAATGATCTAATTGAACTAAGTTTAAGAGCATACGGGAAGATGCCTGAATCAATAAAACGCCTAAACAATAACCATAACGGTTCTGCTAGAACAGAACGAAGTTTGTACAAAAAATCACCTTGGATACCATCTGGACCAACAGACTTTATATTACGAAGGCTACATAAGCATTGGTAGACGTCATTAATAAAAAAATGGACATTTGACGGGAGCGGAAAGTTATTGATAGTATGTAATGTCAGGGATGATGACTGTAAAGGCTGGGTAAACACAAAAGAAAAATGTGTAGCAAATAAGTTAGCTGTATCAGAAGGAGTTTTGCTCTGTGTACCATGGAGTATAACACATGTAGGTATAGATGGAGAAGAGCAGTTTTTTCTAATGAAACTCAAATATCGAGGGTTACGCAATAGGGAAGATTCTAAACGAGAGACAAAGTTACGGAAGCATTGTTTGGAAATAAATTTGAATTTAGCGCGAAGAAGTGAAAAATGTTTGTAATCAGATAATAGTTGGGATGACTTAAATTTGGCATGGGCGCGAGATTTAGCAAACACAAGTTCCTTGATCTCGTTAGTGTACCATGATGGAAAAGTGGAAGGACGAAAAGAGATTTTAGGAACAAAGGATAAAATTGAATAGTGAAAAGCATCAAGGAAGACAAACTTAGAAGCATCGAGGGAGTACTACAGGAAAGTACGTTTTCAATTGAAAGAGTTAAAGAATTTAGTGATCTGAGTCTGCTTTGTTGAAGTTAAAAAATGATTTTAGGAGAGCAGATTGAGAATTATGAATGGAGAGATTTATAGATAGAGAGAGTGATGGATGATACGCGTCAGCAGGCACGGCTGTGTCAAGAGCTTGATTAAGAGTTATAGAGCTAATATTAGAGAATATGAGGTCAAGAAGAGAGTGGTGAGAATTTAATATATAGTTGTGTTTGTAGAAATCATGAATTGCTAATTTTTCAGGAATGAAAGTGAATTCGATGATTGATTGAATTAGAAAACACAGGCCATGTGAATTATTTGACCAAGAAATGAATGGTAGGTTATAACCCCCAGTGAGAATAAGGCTATGATTTGGGTATTCTTGGACAATAAAATCAATAATATTTAGATGAGCAAAATAAAGCTCAATGTGTGAAGAGGGAGGTATATAAACACTGCAAATAATAATATTTAAGGAGTTATGTGAGAAGCGAACAAATAATTGCTCAACACTATTATTAGGTATAAGGAGGGGGAAGAATTTAAGTCCTTATGCACAGTGATTAACACACCACCACCGTAATTATTTTATCAAGCATTATTAAATAATTATGTTATTTTATATTTATGCACCTATTGCAGTTGTCACCAAAAATTAATTAAAACTAAATAGTACCAATCCTCTCAATAATTTATATTTAATATTGTTATGCACTTAAAAATTTCAGATTTTAATGTTTTTTCCACTACTGATAAATTCATTAAAACGTATTGTATCATGTATTGAAATTATTATTTAATTATTAGTACAATTGTTATACTTTAATCTTGAAGTAGCAGATAGGGTCATCTCATACAATAGTATGTAATTGTTATGGACTTCAAAAGGTTAAGTAGCCATGATTTAAATCATGAACAGTATTTCATTAATGCAGAAGTATTAATACTTTAATTTTAGAATTCATCAAATATTAAAAATGTTACAAAAATTTGAAGCTTTTATTATAGTAACAAAATTTTATGTTATTAACAAGTATTACATTGTTACTTACTTGTTTTTTTCATTACAATATAAATTTTTGGAAATAAATTTTAAATACTCAGAATCATGTTTGAGGAAATTATTAGATTCAAGAAAAAATTGACTATTCAACATCTTTTGCTTTTACAAAATAATTCTCAATTATATTAATGTATATTAGTATAAATCACAGTAACTACCATCTATGGATTTTTTGTTTACTTTAAAAAGTGTTTAATTCTATGGTGATATTTTAGGATCTCATTAATTTTAATTAAATTAAATATAAAATAAAAATCTAGTAAATAAATTAAACAAATTATTATAAGAAATGTCTTCATTTCTAAATGTTGGTGATTTAATAAACTTAATCCCATTTGGTAAGTGTTAAAAATTTGTTTAATATTATTTAACATAAATAATAATTGCTATTAAATATTTAATTAATACAATATGTGTATAGTTCCACAATTAAAAGATATATTTTTTCATTGGGTAAATCTGGATGATAACAATCGAAGACATCTCAAATTTTTAGCTGAACAAAATAAAAATATTGGAATAAAACCAATGATTTTGGCTCTAGAACAATGGGAAAATATGCAGAATAATTTCGGTAATATAATTATAACTTAAGTAATAATTTAAAAATGTCTGACAAGACAAGATAAAAAAATTTATATTATAATTATAATACAAATATACAGTAAAAGCTAATTTATTTAAAATAATTTAATACAATAAAAACTTTAGCAAAACTCATTTCAACCAAAAAACTATATAAATAGTACATTATAATGATTGATTTGATTTAAAACCTATTAATTCATTCATTCTCTATAGCTTAAAATGAATTTCAAGTGAATAAATATTTTGAGGGTAAAATTAGAAACAATCAAATATGTGTACTTTTCAAATAATTATTTAAAAAATAATTTTTTTTTTAAAAAAACCTTATATTAGTTTTAAATCACAATAATCTATGTACATTTTTATATAGGAGCACCTGGAGTAGAAAAGGAATTTGTCATTTGGGATAATATTACCTTACAGGAAATCTTGGAATGCAGCAATACACTGAACAAAATTATAATTGAAATTATGTGCTTAACATAACAACTGATGGAAATTCCTAATATATTTGTAAAATATTTTATTATTATAATACATATAAATATATCAATACACATACATTTAAAGTTAGTAATTAAAAAAAAAAGGAAAGAACAGTTTATATAGTATAAATGTTCACATACAAAATAATAAAAAATTAATTAAATTTAATTAAAAAAAAAAAAAATTCAATTTGTAAACAGAAAGATAAAAGATAAGACTTATTTAGATGAGATGCATGGGAACAATGTGTGGAATTTTCATGGCTTTTGCTTTCTAAACAAAATTAATTATGTAAACATAAATTTTAATTTTCAAAAATTAATTAAAAACCTCAAAAAATATACTATCTGAAGTACATAGGATAAAATGAAATACTTACTCTGTTGAATTTCTTGAAGTTTTTAAGATTTGAATTGTTTTCTTGAAATATAGTTTCAGTTTGTTTGGATTTAGATATCCCTATGTTTAGAGTCTCAACAATGACAGAATTTAACAAGTAATCATCCTCATCATGCACCTTTATTGACTGAAAAGGTAATTAGTTAGTTTTGCAAAAATCATACATTACATTTGTTATACTTCTTACTGATTTATCATCAAGATTACTAGTATCAATGCATTTACCGGTCCCTTTGGCAGAGGATAGTAAATTCATGATGAAATTTGGGTCTACTGTGTTATCGACTTTTGGTTCTATGGATTTTGGAATTTCGTTTTTATTACTGGATGATTCTTCCAACATTGAATAAAACAATGATACTGGTGGTTTGGTTTTTGGTTTTTTTGAAGCATGTTCTTCAATTTCATCTATATCCTTATAATTGAATGGATCATCTTCATCATCATGATTTAACATTGAACCAACACTTGATATTTTTCTTTTGAAACCAGACCTAATGCTAATCGTCTCTGAAGGAACACTATTAATATAGCTCACATTTTCATTAGCTATAGAAACTTGAAGCAAAGATGAGTAGTCATTATTTGATGAGTTTTGTGAGGTTTGGACTGTGGTTATACACGAATCAGATTTTATTGATTCATCATTAACTATTTCATTATTATTATAAGGAAGTTTAAGGTTATTGATAGATGGTATAAGGCTTTCATATGATGTCAGTTGTAAATTTTCTTCTGCTTTTATTTTCGGAGTAGTATTGGAGTCATCTATGTCATTTGAAATTAATATACGTTTTTTTGGCATCATATCTTCAGAATCCATAATAGTCTCTAACGGCCTATGGCAAAAAATTGTGAATTAAAAAATTAAATAATAAGACTTATGATTGAATTTAATTACCTCTTATAACAGGGTTGCATATTAGAATGAGAGTCAGGTATAACATTTACTGAAAATTTTGTACTATCTTCTACAATTAAGACCTAAAATAAAATAATAAAATAACTATACATATTTTAATTTTTAATATAATTGAGTTATGATTTTGAACTATTGTAGTACCTCGGTTTCAGGAGCCAAAATCCCAGATGCATGAGATTCAGATACACTGGGTTGAGTTTGAAGATTAATTAAAGAATTATGGTGATCTGGGTTACAATGTTTGGTAGTACTCGAATGAATTATAGCAAGTCCAATATCATATTCTGATATTGGTGTTTTATTCATTAATTTCAGTTTTTCTAAAATGTAATTTCTTTTTGTTAGAGTTATGTATTTTATATTACAATAAATTTTAAATCAAAGTAAAAATGTGTGCACATTACATGGCTAAGATAATAATGCACAATATTAAAAAATTTAATTACCCAACAATTGTTGATATTTTTTATTATTCTCTGTGAAAGATATATCTTGTTGCATAAAAATATGTACTTTACTTTGCAAAATTTCATCCTCTGACATAGTGTCTTCACAATACTTTATTATTTCTCCACCTAAATTACAAAGTATATTATGTATTTAAAATAATTTTAGTATCAACACTCATTTTTTAGTTATTTTACCTGCTATTTTTATAATTTTTGAAATACGATTATATTGGTTCACTGTAGAACATACAAATATTTTTCCAGAAAATAGAGTTTTACGTTTGTTATTCACATTCATGGACACTGAACTGGAATTTAAAAGATTATCAGTCAAATTAGGTACATAATCTGTACAATACGGTAGTTCAGATGTTGAATTAGGCAATAACGCCTTATATAAATCAATAAAATATCTTATAGGTACAATTGATTTAGCAGATGCCAGGCATAATAATACCTAAAACAAACAATTCAGTTTTAATTAAAGTTATGATATAAATGAGGAATGGATATTTTTTCGTTTACTAATTGCAATTTTAACTAAACCAAAATCAAAAATATAATTATTAAAATAATATTTTAACAATTTGTGATGAAATTGAAAAAAAAAATTAAAACATTCTCTACTATAATTTTTAATTTTATTCTTACCTTTTCTGTAACAATAATTGAATTCATACAAAGATGTGTACATTGATTAGTCCATTCATGTGTTATTTCACCTCCAATTGGATTCAAAGCGTTTTTCAGGATTTCTTTATCGTTCCTTCTCAAAGTTGATGGACAAACCAAAAAAGGGTATTCTGTAACACTACATTAAAAAAATTTTGGATTGTTTTCTCAAGATTAAGACAAAGTATTAAACTTGCATCCAAAAGCTGTCCATTATCCCGAAACGAATCCTGTCACCTGATGACAAAACTATAGGACATTCACTAGCAATGCGTTCATTTGAAGTGATACCAATGTTAATAAATGTTCCAAACTTTGATTTTTTGTCGACAAGTTTTAAAATAAGTTTGTTTTTATTATTAACTATCTAAAAATTCAAACGATGAAGTCAAACAATTAGAACTCTTTGAGTTATAAACTAGAGACACATACTTTTTTCTCATAAAATATTTCCGCGTGACATCGACTAATAGATGTATCATCAGGTATTTCAAAGTCACCTTTGAATCCAGCTCGAGCAACCAAATTGATTTTTTTCTTCAAAATGTCATAGCATTCACGTGCTATAATGCCAATGAACAAACATGTATTTTTAACCAAAAAACACAGTATAACTTGTTAACTGATCGATGTATACATACTTTTTTCATTCACCAATGTTAATAAGGGCAACGGTTTTACATCAGTACAATCCATTTTGATTTTCAAATGAAAATTACAATGTTCATCCGTTGATCTTCACACAGTTTATATTAATATAATCCTATTCGTCATTCAGCTCCTTTAGCTACACGGTAATATTCTATCTCGTTATTTACTATCACAATGTACGCTATATAATATCTATTTGTTGCTAACTGGTCGCCTATCGATAACGCAATATTTTCAAAACGGTTATAAAAAATATAAAAAAAAAAGACAATTGCTTTTGTAATATAAAAAAATTATCAAGAGAATGAGAAATAACAGGCACATTTTTGATAAAACGACCGTGTTTAGATAACGAAACGTTTGATAAAACAGTTAAACGATTTGTCGTTGAAGTTTCTGTCAAACTCTGTTTAATAGGTCTAACGATTACAGTCCTTTCAGAATTAAAAAAAAAAAAAAATTATTACAATAATAATAACGTTTGGCATGTGTTTAAATGTAAAATCTGACAATTTTAAATATCAAGAAAATTGTTCAACTGTCGCTGCCCGGAATGTCTTCGTACGATTTGAGGTAATATTTAAGCTACATAGGTATCTATTACGTGAATTGTTATGATTTGCTAGAGTTAAATTACACGTTTAGTGTTGAACAAAATTTGTCATTTATTGTTCAATATTCATCAGAAATGGAATCGACACAAATATATTTAGAAAAATTCAACATAAACAATTTTTATAGTATGTATTTGTTATTGTTCTTAGGTTGAAGGATCTTGACCAAGTACTAGAATGTGATGAGATTGATTTGTCCAAATTAAGAGAGTTCTGTTTCAATGGTAACCAGTGGGCATTTTCTTGAGATACTTTTTCTATTTGATGTATGCAAATGTTCTATTTTATTTATTTACAGGTATTCCTGATGAAAAAGGTTACAGAGCATTGTGTTGGAGATTGTTGCTCAATTACTTACCGCCTAATAAAAACAAATGGCAAGAGCAATTATGTCACCATAGGAAATTGTACCAACAGTGGTTAGGTAATTTAAAATTAAATTTTTCATAGTAAAATTTAATCACATAGTACTGAAATGTTACCAAATCTCAGAAGTTCTTTCTATGTTATAATATTTATGTCAAGTGGCAGCAACTTAAAACTTGATAGATTTGGTTCATTTTTTTTAACTATTTAATAGTTCATTAATTTTGTTTTCCCCTCTTCGTTTAGATGGAACTTATTGTGCATTATCATTGTGATATGCCTATGTCAATTTTGTAAAATCTAAAACCAATAATACTATACGATGTTGATATATATTTATTATTAAAAATTATTTAAGTTGTCTAAGAATTTTTAAGGTATAGATAAAGTAAGTTTATTAAATAGGCAATTGTATTTTTTAGATGAAATATTAGTTGCTCCTGGTTCAATTGATGATGAACAATCCGATCATCCCTTGAGTGAAGATCCCACCAGTAAGTGGAATACATTTTTTAAAGATAATCAAACTCTTACACAAATTGATAAGGATGTCAGGTAATTGAAATATGATTAATATTCTTGGTATGAGGTACTAATTTATAATTTTCGTTCTTTCAAAATGTAGGCGATTACACCCTGAATTGTCCTTCTTCCAACAACCGACTGATTATCCATTAGCTAGTGTTGTTTACAGTTGTGGTACTAAGCGATTGAATAGAAGAGTAGGCATGCATTTTCTTAACAGTGCAAATGTTGAACGTAAAGGCCTTGGTATTGTTAAAATATCCCAAAAACCTGAGCCCATTAACACATCTGAATTTAAACCACTTGATGAAGGTTCAGAAGCACATTGGGAAGTGGTAGAAAGAATATTATTTGTGTATTATAAATTAAATCCTGGACAGGGTTATGTACAAGGCATGAATGAAATAATTGGTCCAATTTATTATTGCTTTGCCACCGATCCAATTGTCAATATGAAAGGTATGAAAATTGTACTTCTAATTTAAATATTTTAAAAATGTAAGTATTAGGTCTATTAATACATTGGAGTTTAGTATTTGATTTTTGTAATTTAATCTTGTTTTATTATCAATATTTCTGTGTGATTACTAAGCATAATATGATTAATAAATTATTAAATTATAATTTGCATTTTTATATATACATATTTATTATTATTTATTAGCTTAATCAATAAATAAAGAACACCAATCACTTTTGACAGTTTTTATGACTAGTCATATTTTAGTCCTTGTAAGTTAAAAGTTATAGGATGCTATCAAATATTCTTGCAGAAAACATATACCAATGAATAAATACACTTGTTCACTTATTTTCCAGTAAATTAACAACTCTATGTTTTGTCAACATTTTATACATAACTAACGATATATTTATATTATAATAAAATGTAAGTATTGTCCCAAATTAATTATATTAGTAGTTTCCAATTATTACTCTTATCCATTTCTTATTGCAAACATAGTATAATACTAAATTTTAAAAGGATTGATAACATTATACATATAAAATGTATGATTTACCTAATTATAATTATAAGAAACAATTATTCTTTATTTTAGAGCATGCTGAGGCAGACTGTTTTTTTGTCTTCACTAATCTAATGTCAGAAATTCGAGATTTTTTTATAAAAACTTTGGATGAGACTGATACAGGAATTGTAAAAATGATGCAAAAAGTAACAGATAAATTGAAAGAAAATGACCCAATTGTCCAAAATTATTTAAATAAAAATGAAATATATCCTCAATATTATAGTTTTAGGCAAGTTTTTTAAAATTATTTCCATAAAATGTTAATTTATTAATATTTATCAATATACAAACATTTAGATGGTTGACACTATTATTGTCTCAAGAATTTTCACTGCCAGAAGTCATTAGGATATGGGATTCTCTATTTTCTGATTCACAAAGATTCTCATTCCTTATTAATATTTGCTGTGCAATGATAGTGTAAGTTTTATCATTTATACTATACATATCAATACTGAATATTAATGTAATATATGTAATTATATTATCTTAGCTATTAATTGTTATAAGTGATTAAGTTCAAATAAGTCAGTTTATTTAATTTAATTTTTATCATGTAATTTTTAAATATTAAATATTTTTTAACTAACTAAAATATAATTTTATAATATAATATATTATCAATGACTATATAAAGTTTTATCTAATATGAAATGATCATAAATAATTTAAATTATATTTGCACAAAATATATTTATTTTGTTATACAGTTTAATCAGAGATCAAATACTTGCTGGAGATTTTTCGACAATTGTAAAACTTTTGCAGGTAATTTAATTAATTCCTTTTTAAGTTTTATTATTTTTTACTTTAAGTGTATTAATTATTTTTTTTATAGAACTATCCAAATGTTGAAACATGTGTTATTTTGAATAAAGCTGCAGAATTAAATTATAAAAATTGATGGTAAGTAAATACATTTATTATTTTTATTAATGAAAAAACATAATTTATCTAATTTATTAAAATATATTATAATTTAATTTTAAGTGTTAATTTGGGTTATTGACAGGAGAGTAGAACAGAGTATGAGTGTTGCAGAAATGAGAATGCTTAGATGGATTAGTGGTTGGATAAGACTGAAAATGATATAAGGGTTATTGGTGTGTCCGTAGGGGATATAGAAAATAAAGACGAGTGGAAGTTAAAAACAAGGGTGGCTGACCCCAAATAGTTGGGAAAAAGGCAAAGGAAGAAGAAAAGATGAAGAATATTATAGTTAAATTTTGATGAAATTTAAAATATATTATACTTTATATGATTAGTTATGTAAAGCCTTATTTTTCTCAATATATATAAAAATTACACTAGCAGCAAAAAGTAATTATTGATTTAACTGAGTTTACTTAGAATGTGTTAAATTTTAACTGTCATTCACAAAAGCCAAGGAATCTGAAGCATCTTCATATTATAATGTATATTATAATTCCCCTACAGATATGAATACATATCTATCTTATATTTGTGTAGCATTTTTATATTTTTTTATTTATCTTTATATTAGTGTTTTATACAGTATAGTATTAATATAATGTCCACACTAAATAAAATATGGTTTTCTTATTATATATGTTATGGCCAAAGTCCGAAACATGGCTAAAGTGCACATTATCTGGATATTGTGCACTCTAGCCACACTGGTTGAATAAATTAAACAATAAACATTTAAAATTATAGTTTTGTACACATAACCTGGTTAAAGTAACTTTAGTGATCGTGTTATTGCATATAAGTTAAAAATTAAATATTAATTAACTACATTTGATGCAATAATAAATTTATTTTTATGAGATATTATTAATACTATTTATTAGAAAATATTTTTTTTTATTATTATTTATTTAAACACGGTAAACTTTGATGGCATTTTGAATTGCATAGAACACTTGATGCTTTGCTTTTGCATTTATTTGTTTTGAAATTTGATTTACATGCACAGTGCTGAGTTTATTATTATTTAATGGGTAACTTATATCATTAATTATATATTACAATATTTGATATTATATTATTAATGTTTATATTAATTAATTTTATTGAAATGAAATATAATTATGAATTTATTAATAATATTTTACATTAGCCATAACCATAGACCATATACTCAAATATATTGTATAAGGTCTATGGCCATAACAATCGTAACTAAAGTTACTTTAGCTGGGTATTGTGTACAAAACTATGATTTTAAATGTTAATTGTTTACTTTATCCAACCAGTGTGGCTAGAGTGCCCAATATCCGGATTATGTGCACTTTAGCCATGTTTTGGATTTTAGTCTTAACATATATATTAGTTAATTGGTATAATGTGTAAATACATGTTCCCAATGATTTGATTTGTTTGGTTTTCAGCGAAGTAAAAGAAAATACACGATATAGCTCCATGGATCCAGTTCTTGACCTAAAGCTCTCTCTGGGAAATGATCAACAAGTATAAAATATTGTTTGTGATTTTTCCTCATCGTTCAAAATACTTCTGTGATTTATTTATTAATATAGTCTATTTAGTGTGAAATTATATTTATTAATCTATACTAAAATTTACTACTTGTTATTCTTCTTATTATTTTTCTGTATTTATTTGTGTTGTACTGCATAGTTTCAGTGGTGTGTTGAAGTACGATTTTTTATACTTTATAATTATTCTATGTTTCTATATTTATTACAAAACTTAATGATCATTTTACACTATTTGTTTATAAGAAAAAAAAAAATGTATTTTTATTTTATTATGCTGTTTAAGCGTAGAACATTTTTATTATTTTTTATATATATATATATATATATAAATACCTACTTCTTTCTACCTACACACATTATATGTTCTTAATAATTATAAAATGTTGCCTGATATTCTGATGCATGATCAACTAGTTTCAAAAAATCTTATTATATGAACATTTTGATTGAAATTCTTTGAACATTACATTTTAGTATGTTCTTATTAAAATTAAAATAGCTTATCCTTTTGGTTACTTAATTAGAAGTTGACAAATTGATGAAAAGTATATGTAACATAAATTAAGTGTTTTAAAAAATCATAATTTGATATACACTATAAATCTTTTCATCTTCAGTTTTATAAATCATTTAGGTCCATCATTGCTCTAAACAACTTACTCCATTCATCTCTATTATATTCATATTTCCTTCTAAGTTATCGATCCTAAGTATTCGGAAGTTCTGATTAAGTTCGTCAATCCACATTTTTTTGACCACTGGTCTCTTACTTTCTGACTTCCAGTTCAGTACATCCCTTAGTATATTATTTGATTCTCATATATGCCTTGGTCAGTTAAATTTTCATCTTTTAAGGATTTGTATCTTATCTTCTAAAAGTTATTTAATTTTATTATTCGATCTTATTTTTTACTCAACAAATTGATCATTTTACTTCGGTACAAAAAAATGTTTGAGGAATTTCCTTCCTATAATTGTCAGTTTTTTTTCGTCCTCTTTTAATGTTGGTCAAGTTTCTCAAGTGTATAAAATTTACGACCTTACTGTACAATTACGGTTTAAATTTTTTTGATAGTAACTTAGATTTGAAATTTTTCTGCAGCGCAAAGTAAAATTAGTTTCCAGCCTAATTCGTAATCGTATTTTTGCATAATAATCGTTGTGGCTATTTATTATGACTCCTAGATATTTGAAATTTTTTACTTTTTCAAAATGTATACATTATATTATATTATTTTTTCTGTTAGATGCATTTTTTAAAACATCGCTTCTCGGCCGATTCTTCTGTGTAGATAACTCGCTACGCATTTTGCATAATACGCTCAGCATACATTACGGGTACTCTATATAATGGTATAATACAGAATAATATTACATAATTATTATGCTTGAGTCGATAAATTTTATTTTAATCCGAAGGGGAGAAAAATGAATACCTATCTACTCAAAAGTAGGAACTGTTTCTTATTCCCTAATCTTTCTACGAAATTGTTCTCACCCCACGATGTACTACAAAAGTACTTTAATACGTATACTCACGATATTATACAATGTATAGAAAAAATATAAACTTCTCATTCGTACATTTAGAGTGGTACATTAATTCTTTTTATAATGTGTATGTGTGTGTGTAAGTCACAATTTTCGATACACTTGTACGCAGCACGGTTTACAGAACGAGTGAACGCAAATCATTTGGATGTAAATCTCGACGAAACAATGGGGTAGCGTTGGACGGATTAACTGTTAGTAGGTGGTACTTGATAAGTCTGAGCCCCAGCGATGTGCGCGGCGTATACCTATTGCAGTGTATTGCAGCGGGGCAGGCGTGCGCGTGTTGCCGAAAACAGAGGTTTGAGAAAAAAAAACTAGAAATTCAGCTTAATATATAATAACTATACAATAATCATTTAACAAATAAAAAAAAAGAAATGTAATATTACGGTCAAATTTTTTCTTCTTCTATTAGAGCGGTTCTCAAACTCTGCTCCGCGGAAGAAGTCTGGGGGCTCCGTGGGCATATATTAATTATCTGAATTTAAATATTATTATATTTCTTAGTTATTGAGGAAAAACACTGGTATGATTACCTGAATTGTGCAACGAGTTATACGTTTTAGTGATACCAATTTTATTTACAAGTAAGACTTCTGATAAAATTTGTTTATTATGACTTCATAACTTGGCTGGTATTTTCATAAAATTAAATTAAGTAAATATATCAATACAACGTAAAATTACCATAGTTTTCACAATAAATGACAGAATCCGAACTTTAAAAAAAATGAAATTTTGAACTGTGCGTTTTTCTCAATATGAAATAATAATTATGATTGTCTAAAATATAAATTCCTGATTTTCGGGGCTCCGTAATTTTTTTTGAAAACATAAGGGTTCGCGGACAAAATAGTTTGAGAACCACTGTTCTATTAGTAAGAACAACGTTTGGCGAGGAACTTTCATGCATTTTGTCTACCAAAGTACGTATATTTTATAGAGAGATTTTTTTGTCTTTAATCACCCATCTTGATTAACTATTAGGTTAATCTACTATCCTCGTATATCTAACCTCTTTGAGGTCCATAGGGCCACTGGATGCGTAAGTGCAATAACGGGGTACGCCGCGAATTTACAAAATGAAGGCGCTAGGGGGCAATTTACTCAACCCCTTGCCTTAACACGTCTCTGGTGGCAATGGACACGCAGATTAGACATACGCGTGTGTTTATATTTTATTATTGTAATTGTTATTATTATTTTATATTTGATTGACGTGCCTTGTGCATATAGAAGATCACCCGAATAGTGAATACCGCACAACTCTCAGTGATGACAAATGCTTGCCGGCGGTACGCACCACTTACACGTACACATTTACATAGCAACCCGTGAGCATGTGTGTGTGCGCGTGTGTGTGTAGTATATTAGAATACGAAAGGCGCGCGCGCGCGTAAATGATTGATGTTCCGACCATGACCGTATGAATATTTTAGGAATGCGACACATACGACGGCGAGACCGGTATACGCGCGTTTATTATTATTATTACTATTATTACCATTGCTATACCCACGGCATATACTTGTGGTGGAAATATGTATATGTGTGTGTGTGTGTGTGTGTGTGTGTGTGTGTGTGTGTGTGTGTGT